TATCATAATATTTATTCTGTTCATGTGGTTGCATTTAGATTTGAATTCTGAAAAAAAAAAAAAAAAGGATTTGAAATTTGGTCTGTATTTGAACATTTCCCTGGTCTACCAACTGAGCTAGGCTAGCTGGTATACACATCTAGATGTGTATAAGAGACAGCACACACACACACACACACACAACACACACACACACACAGCGATCAAGACATCGTTTTTTTACACCTTTTCAAGTATGTTGCTCTCGAGCACGATGCACGACAAAACAACGAAATTGTTCAAGAAGAAAAAAGGAAGAATCCAGTGGACGCGCACCTCTAGCTCATTATAATAAACATGAAAAACCACTCCGCGCTATGTTCTAGTTGGTCAACCCCCTCCCCCCCCCCTTCTTTGTGCCATTGGTATGGGTGAAAGTCAATTTGCAGTATAAATACATTTGCTCGAATACCTATCGTCTCAAAGACTTCATTGCCAAAAAAAAGTCTCTGGAACTCTCTCTATACAAAATGGGATTTCTAGTGGTCCCGGTTCCCAGCACGTGCTGCTCCCCACGAATAGACTGGAGCATTTGTCCAAAAAAAAAAAAAAAAGTCTGCTCATTCCGATTATATACAGATACAGAAATCAGGAATCAGAAAAATAGTTTGAAATACAGTGTCAGTGTCATCAAGATGCCACAACAAAATTAGCAATACTTGACATCAATTGTTCACATCACCTCATAGATTACCAATACCTGACGACCCGAAAAAAAAAAGAAGAAAAAACCTCTACTATAGCCCTTTCTATCTACGGAAATCACAGAGAGTTCATAACACCTCAAATAGACTACCAATTGTGACTGAAACAGCTGCACCTGACCAGAATCCTGCATTCGATACATTCAGTACGCCTAATATGGTTTCTAATTCAGGGGAAGAGAGTAAAGCACGCACAGGGCATACTGACCCAACCCGCTGCATCTGACCACAATCCTGCCGTCAATACATTCACAAGCCCTAACATGGCTTCTATTTTCAGGGAAACATAGCATCACGACTTTCAAAAAAAAACAAAGGAACAGGCATACTGACGGAACCGGCTGCATCCGACAAGAATTATGCCGTCAATACACTCACAAGGCCTGACATGCATTCTATTTTGGGTGAAACATAGTAGATCTACCATGAGACAAAAAAATATAATGCACAGACATAGTATACCGAACCGGCTGTACCTGACCAGGAACCTGTCTTCAATACATTCACAAGGCCGAAACATGCATTCTATGTGGGGGATGTATTGCAGATCTATAACGATCTCAAAAGAAAAATGACAGCCATAGTGACCAGACCGGGTGCACCTGACCAGAAACCTGCCTTCAATACATCCACAAGGCCTATCATGCGTTTCATTTCGATAGGGACATAGTAGATATATACCCCAACTGAGAAGTGCAGCCTATATACGGGCCTTGTGAATGTATTAAGCCAGGTTTCGGGTTAGGTGCAGACAGTTGGAGAGAGTTTGAGACAGTCCTACCGTAAGTGAACCTCGCTAATAATTCCTTCCACATATTCTTTGACAAAGCGCATTTACTCACACTAGCATTTTCTAGGGATGTACCTGGCTGGAAATTAAGCCAGATTCAGCCCACAGTCCAAGAGTCAGTACGTCCCTCAGAGTAAGCCTCACTTCTTCCTCTTCTAACTACCGTCATTCTAGATTTCAGCGGGCCAGCCGCGGATGTATCTGGCTCTCATGTAACGTAAAGTACACTGACTTCTATCAACTACCATTATTCTGTGTTCTGCTCGTCTTCGATATTAAGCAGACTGTCTTCCGACGCTTCAATTTCGCGTCATACAATTTTTTTTTCCCCTTTTTCTCCTTTTTTTTTTTTGGCATCATGCAATTGTCTACAACCTGAGGGTTAAAACCAAAACACAACAAAAAGTCCAAAATCGTGCAGGGTCAACAGTCAGAGGGGGAAAGGGGGAGAAGGGGGGAGGGGGGGGGGGGGGGGGGGGGGGGGGGGGGGAAAGAGGGGGAAAGAGGTGACGGCCTGTTATATAGGGGACTTACTTGAATTCTACAAGCGCATGTCACAGGAGACGTATAATATGATTTTTAAGTCGGGTTGTGGGGGGGGGGGGTGTTGATGGAGTTACGAATGTTAATGTATTGCGCGATTTTCTAAGTCGATAAAATAATAATAGTAATTTTGTGGTGCAGGGCACTATTAATATATCTCCCCGCACCCCCGCCCCCAAAAAAGCCCGTTAGGTTCAGAAAAAAACGAAGCTAACTGTGTCAGAATGAACCTTGGGCAGCGGTATGTCCAGGTGCAGAACACGCACCTGGGCATAGGGACTGTATTCTGACACTAGTTTTTGCTCTCCTCCGACCCTAACGAAGTTCGTTATGCAACCTTTTCCACAAGTTTTTTTTTTTTAACTTCCTAGGGCTTCATATTTTAGTTTATATGCAAAAATAAAATATAGGTATGCAACCTTGTTTTTTTTCCCCTTGCATTTTATTATTCTACTTCCTACGCATTCATATTAATTACATGCAAAAAAAAAAAAAAAAAAGTCGTGGCCATCGCCTGTTTTTCTTTTTATTTTTAATGCCGCCCCATACAATATCGTCACATGAATATCAGAGCGCAAAAGCGAAAAAAAAACAAGAGGAAGCAAAAAAGATATCAATTCATTTTTTTATCTTCTTCCTTACAACTCCCCCTGTTCAGAACCTCTTGCGTACAAGCCCCCCCACGTTGATGTAGGTTGAGCGGCATCAAACAGTATATATATCGTCAAAGATATATGCTTGATAAAATGTAGGAATAATTTATCAAAAGTCATGTCATTTTTTTTTCTTTTTCTTTTTTTGACTGGCCAAATAAATAAGGATTACGCTGCGCGCCAATTCCAACCGTTGACTTAGGGCTAACTCGTCGGTAATGGCTTCTTGGATGTTCCTAATCCAGAGTACGACCAGATTCAGTCAAAGACGTCGTAAAACGAGTGATTACGTCACTGTGAAATTGTCATTCTCATTTGCATGCGACAGCGGTCTATCAGCGACTACCTATAGATGCCGGGTGCTAGGACTTCTCGACTGCTTCTGAACGTTATTGCGTTCAGATACATTTGTACACCTGGCCGTAATTGCTGTCGAATACATTTAGAAAAGTCCTCGTATGAGTCTGCTCCCTTTGTTTTTTTCCAACTCTATCAAGAAATTCGGAAATTCCAGATACGCTTATTCTCTTCTGTTAATACACCTTTATTGATTTATTGATTTCCACAGGCGGGACTGGATTTTTATTTATTTTTCCTTTTTTTATTTTTTTTTCTTGTTTTGTCTATGCGTTTCCAATTGTCAAACCTCATCAGAAATATCAAATAGTAAACACAGATGTGATGTCTTTTTTTTTTTTTTTTTTTTTTTTTTACACAGAAGTCTTCAAAAAACCCGTGTAATTATTACTTTTTGTTTTTAATAATCTTTTATGGAGCGCCGTCCTACCGGTACGTCCCCACTTGCACGCACCAATAAATACCATCCCTGGACTCCAATCAAAAGATCGATGGCCAGTATCTCTTCATCTATGCCATCGTTGACACCCCCCTCTCCCCCCCCCTCTTCAAAAAGAGAGAGAGAGAGAGAGAGAGAGGAAAAGGAGAAATTCATAAGAAGAAAGGGAGAGAGAGAGGGAAAAAGAATTAATAAAGCAAGAGGGAGAGAGAGAGAGAGAGAGAGATCATGGTAAAAGGTAGCAGAGGGAAACTAGGAAGAGAACATGGAAAAGCGAGAGTATTCAGAAAACAAAAGCAGATGTTCAGATGGTCGTTGGGAGGATGGAGAAGGGAGGTGGAAAAGGGGTATATAGACATGAAAATGCAATGTGCCAGTCTGGTGAAGTAGATCGAGACACCTGTGTACGAGAATAAAGACATTTAAAAAAAAAAAAAAAAAAAAAAAAAACTTACCCGTTAGAGAGTATGATTCGTCGTTTGGAGGTGACGAGATACGGTGATGAGAGAACACGAGCGGAGAAGCTCTCAGACTGGACGCCGACGACAGTCGCTGCTGCGAGCAGGCGGCGATGGAGGACGAGCAGGAACACGACGACGACAGGTTTGCCACGGAAGTCGCCATCGCTGCAGTGGCCGCCATCACAATTCTGTCGTTTTCTAACTTTTCGTCTAAGTTCTACAGCTCGCGCGCCGAGTGCGCTAGAACTTTCTTCTAGCTGCTCCTGCCTTTCTTCTTTGGTTTGTTCGTGCGCGGCTGTGCTGTCCGTACGGTTCCGAGCGCGCGGCGCCCGCGGCTGTGCTGTCCGTACGGTTCCGAGCGCGCGGCGCCCGCGGCTGTGCTGTTCTTTGGTTTGTTCGCGCGCTGGTTTCGAGCACACTCGGCGTGGCGCCCAAGCGTGCGCACGCTAACGCTTCCGCCGGTAGAGCATTGCGCGCACGTCGAGATAAGACGGCGAAAACCGCGCTGGAAAGTTTCGGATGAGGTTATCGAGGCGGCGGAAAATGGTCGCGCGCTTTTTTGCACTTTCGGTAATTCCAGGATTGCCACAGAACAGATCGGATCGAATCCGAGAGGACCGGGCCGAGTGCGCCACTTGAGGAGGTCCGCCCGTTTTCCCTCGAGCATAACGCAACCGGAAAATGAATGTATACGACTGATGTTTGCGGTCCGGTACAGCGTAATGAGGGTGCTTTGTGCTCGGGGAGAGAGGGTAGTTGGGGTTTCAGGTATCCACGCGTCCCTGCCATCCGATCTCAAAATCTCACTGCCACAATGTGACCGCGTTGAAAAGTACTTGAAAGCTCCCGAAGTTAAACCTTTCTCGAACCAGGTAGGAGGTTAGGCTTTTGGGTTTCTCTCTTTGAAGGTTTGTGAGGTTTTGCGGGGCCTGGTGCCGTGTCCTTGAACCAGGTGCACTCGGTTCCTGTCGGCAGTCACAGTAGACTGCGAGGAGAGTGCCAGGGAAGGGAATGGAACGGCGTTCCTCCCGGCCGTAGTAGGCCGGGTTACAGACCGAGTAGGCCTGTGCTTAGGGTTAGCAGGTAGAAGGGGAGGTAGTTAGATTAGGGAGGGGTTAGGTGGGAGCTAGGCTTATTTGTGTGTCAGGTAACCTGTCGTTTTGGAATGAAGGTCCTGGGATAAAGTTGAATGAAAGGATAGTAAGCGGCTGCTGATGGGTTGCTTGTTTTAACCTAAACCGACTGATGCTGTCGGGATAACTCCGGGTTGAATTGTGAGGTCCCCGGCCTCTGCAAACTGCTTGAGATGGAATTAAAAAATGGTCGGTCTTGAGAAAAAAAAAAAAAAAAAAGTTAAACCTTTCTCGGGCTTTTGGCTGATAAAAAAAAAAAAAAAAAAGAAATCCCCAAGTTGGTTTACGAATTGGGGCTTGGAACGGAAATTTTTGGGAACAACCAGCGCACTCGTTGATGGTTCGGTCCCAGGAGACAGGCAGTAGGACTAGGAGGTTCTTCTGAGGAGGGAGCGTCGTAAGTGCTCTTGGAACCTCTTGGTCCCAGGTCGTCGCTATAGATGGTCAGTTGTGCTAGGAGTGAGTGATTGGCTGGCAATATGGAGTTAGGGTCGTAGGCTGTGCTCAAGGTCATCTAAAGGCCTCTTTAGACCCTCCTTCGAAATAAAATCGGCGTCCTTACACCGCGTCCTAATTCACCAAATTCCTTGAATGAATGTGAAAACGCTCCCGAGAGATTTCCTTGGATTCAAGGGGTCCTCAGCCAAAACGTCCTTGGATTCAAGGGGTCCTTGCGAGGTCCCTTGGGCTCAAGGAGCCGCAATTGACGGAGTGTTCTGGAGCGAGCGCCGATAGGAAAATTTGGAGTCGATGTTGGTGCACAGGTCGTACGTGGTCCATTGGGCAGACATCGTCGGTCTCCAGTACCCAACGGCCCCCCAACGGCCTTTCACCGTTACCGTTGGCGTGGAAATGCGTAGGGGGGGTCTTCAGCTCCAAGGCGTTGCACGAAGCAGGGTTTACCATGCGCGCGTCACCAGTCGTGGTGCCCAACGGTTGAATTTTTTTATTTTTCTACAAGCAATGTTGAAGCACAATTGGTCGATTGCAGTGATCTGCCTAGCATGCTTTGTTTATTATGTAACCAAAATTAATTTATATTTCAATCACGAATTGTATATAACAAGGTTAATGTGTTCTTCATGCAAAAATATCATAAACGCTCATTAGTTAGTGAGTGTAAAAATATTGTGAAACATGTTCACGAAGGATGAGGAAAGAAAAGTGAAATAAGTAAAAAACAATCTCGCTTATTGACTTGCAAAAAAGAAATGATCCCAAGAAATGATCAAGATCAAACACAAAAAGTTGTGTTTTCGTAAATACTTACACGTAGGATGAGGGGGGGAAAATGAAAGAAGTAAAAAATAATTTGCAGGTCATAAAATATCTAGGGGTGATAAACATTTGTTATCAGGAATGATAAACATCAAAGACAAAAAATTAGTTTTTGTAAAAAGATGAATTATAATAAGGTTACAATGAAGTTCAATACATTGTTGATCAAAAATTATAGCCTAAGAATTTTTATTTTTAATTCAGTAAATAGTGGCTACACTGTAGCAATTGCAGATCATATAGTTTTTCTTCCAAAGAGTCTTCGAAAAACTGAAATTTTTTTAATAGTCAATTGATAATTTTATCAATCTTAAAAATAAATCCATAAATTTTAAATATCGTAGTCAAAACAGTTAATGAAAAAATTAATTAATTAAAAAAAATAAAAAAATAAATCCTTTTTTAAATCAATTTACTTATATCACGCAATTTTTAGAAGACTATGGTTATCCAAAGTTATATGTCTACATACCATAATTTATTTTTCCACTAACATTAAGAAAATTAAAAGTTATTAAAATGTATATGTTTAGATACTACTAAGTAATAAAAAAATATGAATTCCAATAAGGTTAAATTATATTTCAAGCAGGTATAATACGAAGACCATGATACTATATAGTACGTCGTCATGTCAATATCTACTACTCGGTTGATATGAACAAATTGAAGATTATCAATGGGTATTATATATTTTTATTTTTTTATATTTCAACAAATACTTAAAGTCCCCCAAATAAAATCATAGTATATCTTATTGCTTTAATATATAGACAAAAATATTTTTTTAATAAAATATGCTTTAAACCATGGAAGTTGGCGTTCAGTCGAGGTCGAACGACCGAACCCGAGCGCCCGAACGTTCGGACCCCCTTGAAGACCCGTTAAGGCGTTCAGGATCAACGAAAAAAAAAAAATTTGAAAAAACTATATATTATGAAAAACAATAAATTGACTAACATTTGTCGCAACATTACATCCAATGTTTTTACCAAATTGGAAATAAGAATACAATATGAAAAATAAATAATAGTAATAAAATAATATGAATAATTAAAATTAATACGTGGACGAACACATTTTAAACATCACTATCTTTGACAATTTGTTTTTTTTTTTGCTCACTTAAATGTCTTAAAAGTTTTAGGTGTGCATCTCACATGATTGAAAATTGATTAAAAAAAAAAACAAAACATAATAAAATTGTTGAGGCCTCAAAATAAAGCAAAAAAAAAAAAAAAAAAGCGGGGGAGCACGTTGTGAGAACACCATCTTTTGCGATTTTTTTCGGGGGGGGGGGCTTAGCAAAATATCTTTTAAATCTATAGGCATGTACCTTACATCATAAAACACTCGCAAAGAAAATATATATATATATAATAATTTTTAAGCCTCAAAATATTTGTTGTAGGGGGTCGAACCCCTTCAAGTTTGGATCCCAAACAAGATCGCAAATGTCTGAACGTACGGAACTCGACACGGGGACATTCGTACGTATGGGCTGGTAGCCATGCTTTAGACCTTATACGTGTATCATTATTTATTTAAAGCTAAATTCAATATTATACATATATTTCAAGGAGGATTATAATAAAGTCCCTTATAAATTTTGGGTTGGAAGTCCCTTATAAATTTTGGGTTGACATACTGGCGTGGGCATGCTTACGGACAATTTATGACGTTCAACAACATCCACATCAAAATGTGATGACCTCCTCCATCCTCCCTCCTCTCTTATTATAAAGTTTCTCGAACGTTATTATTATATACGCAAAGCGAAGAAATTTGGGTGTAATTTTTTTTGTGATTTCAAAATTTTGGGATGTTTTTTACCACCATTGTATGAATATTGTGCAATAACAGTTTGACACGAGTTCCTTAATGTTCAACCCCCCTCGATTAACAATTTTATTTTTTTATGTGATAGACTGTGTGTGAGAAATTGATGGTAGTACCTTCCTTGTTGTTAAATAATACTCATATGTAGTTTTTAGTAAACACGTTACAATTTATTTTAACGTTTTAATTTTTTACTTTGGATAATGTGTGCTACCCCTACAATTCATAATGTTTCCAAAACGCTATTTGAATAACTACAACGCCGTAGCAAACCTTTGTTCAATAGGCATGCAATTTGTGTTGTGCCCTTTGGGCTGCCAACGCTTACATCTGATACCTAAGTCCATAAGAGGTGGGGCTATTGGACAAAGTGTTACCGTTAACCAAAAGGTCACCGTGAAAGTTTGCAAGACTGAACAATATGATAAAGTTTCTACAAATTTGAGCAATTGGGTACGCTGCAAATATAGACCATAAGAAAAACGTGCAAATTCATAAATTATACGGGTTGAACATAATCCAACGACCTAACTCGGTTGGTAAGGCTTCCAAGTGGTATTAAAGAGGTCGGGGGGTCAATCCCCATTGGCCTCACATACCTTTATGGCATCCTTGGTGCCGACCACCTAGAGATAGACCATTGGATTCCTAGCATTGAGCAAAGTCTGTTGATGTTCGTAGGGGAGGGGGCATGAGGGGAGGCGCATGGATTGGTCTTATTGTCATGGTCTCTGATGCTATCCGTTGTCCCCTAGCTGGTATCGTCCACCTGCAGGTAGGGAGCACCCCCCCATGTTGTCTTGTGAACACGGTTTCGGTTGTTATGAGGTTCCTTTTACGCATATAATTAGGAGTATTGGTAGGTAGGTAATGTGAGGTGAAATTGAGAGAAAAATGTAAATCACTCAAACCACCAGTACCTCGCCCAACTATTTTTTTCCGACGTGACCGTTAATGTGTCGCGTCAGACGGGGTTAGTGCACTAAACGACTGGTACGAAAGATTAAAAAAAAAAAAAAAAAAAAAAAAAAAACAGGAAAATAAATCAGTCGAAAGCTAGGCTACCAGAGTGGTCCGGGGTCACTTACCCAACTGGGCCAAAATAATTAAAAAAAATAAAAATAAACAAAATATTTTGGAATTTTATTTTGTATTTTAAATTTGTTGAAGAATTTCAATGTGACCCTGAGGCAAAAGTTGTT